GGTCTTACACACCAGAGCGGCTTTCTCCCGGGCTTCGCTAATCACACAGCTGAAGAGATGAGGGCCACTCTGTGGGTCTCCAAAGGCCCCTCCCTGTGCGGCTCTCCACTCTGGGACTCCGTGCTACAGTCTAGAACTGCCTTGGCCTCACTGGGCTCCCGTCCTTTCAGCCTTCACCCTGAGAGACCAGCAGGCTGTGCTTCCTACCCAGAGCCTGGAAGTTCCACCTGAGAGCCTGGGCAGTCTTGGGGCTCGGTCATTCACTTTTGCCCTCTCCTGATCATCAGAGCTTCACAGGGTCTGTTACTTGCTCTTTAATGTTGGGGGTGGGGTGGGGACAGGGTTTCTCTGTGTAGCCCTGGCCGTCCTGGAATTCACTCTGTAGACCAGGCTGGCCTCGAACTCACAGAGATCTGCCTGCCTCTTCCTCCCGAGTGCTGGAATTAAAGGTGTGTGCCACCACTGCTAGGCTGTTTTTAGTTAGTTAAGGCAGCAGAGAAGACAGTGGTTCCTGTACCCCATCAGGCCAGAATCCAAAGGTCTGTGGACTGGAGTATGGATAGGGCAAAGTGAGAAAGCATGGGGCCTGAGGCATAACCCTCAGTGTCAAAACCTAAACAAAACCACAGCGAATACGGGACTGCATAAATGGCTTAGAGATTAAGAACACTTAGGGCTCTTGCAGAAGACCTGCTCAATGCCCAGCCCCCACATGGTAGCTCCCAACCATCTGTAACTACAGCTAGGGGACCTGATATCTGCTTCTGACTCCTGTAAGCTCCTACATGCACATGGTGGACATACAGACACTCAGACTCACACACATACACAGAAAATCAATAAATACTCTCTTGAAAGAAAACTCTAGTCTGGGTATAGTGGAGCAGGCCTTTAATCCTAGCATTCAGGGGGCAGAGGCAAAAGGATCTCTGTGAGTTAAAGGCTATCTTGGTCTACATAACAATCCAGGCCAGCCAGGGCTACAGAGTGAGACCCTGCTTAAAAAATCAAGCAACCAAAATCAAAACAACACACTCAAAGTCATCCTCTGATTTTGGAAGTCTCTCCTCCCACCAGGACTATGACTTTACATGCTTTTCTTTTCTTTTTAAAAATTTATCTTTGTGGGCTGGAGAGATGGCTCAGTGGTTAAGAGTATTGCCTGCTCTTCCAAAGGTCCTGAGTTCAATTCCCAGCAACCACAAGGTGGCTCACAACCATCTGTAATAAGGTCTGGTGCCCTCTTCTGGCCTGCAGACATACACACAGACAGAATATTGTATACATAATAAATAAATAAATAAATATTAAAAAAAAAGAAAAAAAATTTATCTTTGTTTTATGATCAATGATGTTTTGCCTGTATTTGTCTGTGTAAGGGTGTCAGATCCCTGGAACTGGAGTTATAGACAGGTGTGAGTTGCCATGTGGATGCTGGGAATTGAACCTAGGTCTGCTGGAAGAGCAGACGGTGTTCTTAACTGCTAAGCCATCACTCCGGCTCTTATTTGCTTTTCAAAACGACCTTGCAGGAGCCCAGCATGGCAGCCTATGCATGTAGTCCCAGCACACAGGCTAAAGAGAGAGGATTTTAAGTTCAAGGCTAGCCTCAGCTACATAGTGTATTGGAGGAAATCCTAGGCTACATGATGAGACTTTGTCTAAAAAAACTAAAGGCTAGGGATATAGTTCACAGATGCCCCAACATACACATACACACTCTCTCTCTCTCTTTCTCTCTCTCTATCTATCTATCTATCTATCTATCTATCTATCTATATATATATATATTTTTACCCCCTCCTAGGGGTTAGTGAGAGAGATGGCTTAGCCATTAAGAGCACGGGCTATATGCCAGGTGTGTAGGGAGAGGCAGGCAGATCTCTGTGAGTTCAAAGCCAACCTGGTCTACAAAGAGAGTCCCAGGACAGCCAGAGCTGTTACACAAAGAAACACTGTCTCGAAAAACAAAGCAAAATCAAACAAACACAAAGGAGCACATGCTGCTCTTCCAGAGAACCTGGGTTCAGTTCCCAACACCCACATCCAGCAGCTCCTGTAACCACATAACTCTAGCTCCAGGGTATTCAATACCTCTGGCTTCTGCAGGTACCTGCATTCATGAGCTCATACTCAAATGCAGACACACACCTACACATAATTTAAATAATAAAAACAAATATCTTTTTAAAAAAAAAAGAAAGAAGGAAGGCAGGTGTGGTGGCGCACACCTTTAATCTTAGCACTCGGGAGGCAGAGGCAGGTGGATCTCTGTGAGTTTGGGGCCAGCCTGGTATACAAAGCAAGTTTCAGGATAGTCAGGGCTACATGGCAAGACCCTGTCTAGAAAAAAAAATAGAAAAACAGTAAAAGAAAGGAGACTTTGTGGGGCTTCTTTTGATTCCTTGCTATGGTCACTAGCACAAAGCCCCCTTGTAGAACCTAGGTCGCGGCTCGGTGATAAAAATAGTTGCCCCACACATGTTAGGCTCTGGATTCCATTCCCAGTACCACAAAAAAACCAAACCCCAAAACCCACTCCTATATATTAGATTTTATGACATCCCCTCTTTAAACAGGGAGGCCTTATATTGTAATGTACATATCATCCCCTTTAATTGTCTATAGTTAATTTTATTAGACCACAGTGATAGTTTTACAAAGTTAAATGGGCTAAACAACTTTGAGGGAAGCCCTTAGCTGCTGTGTGTGCTGAGGGCATAATTCAGTGGGAGCACACTGCCCTCTGTGGTGCGGGGCCCGCTGTTCGGTCCTCAGAACTGCTGAAGGAAACAGAACTAAACACACAGCTCCTGTAACATGCTCCCACAGGCCCCAACCCCACTTCAGGGGAGCCACAGGGCCGCCAGGGGACTGTCCTCCACACATCGTCACACGTCCAGAGCCACACGCCAGAGTGATGCTGTGTGTGCTAGATTTATGCCTTCCCCACAGAAAGTGAGGGTTTGGTTTCCCATGTCTTACCCCAACCTGGTGCAGGGACATGCACACCCTCCCAAGAGAATTAAATGAAAATTTTGGTTACATCAACATTTAGCGTTTAACTGGTTGTGAAGCTGTAACCACTAGTCACAGTCCAGCCTTGTGTGATTCTATGATTCTATGTTATTCCATGTTATCCTATGTGTTTGGCTGGTTGTGAAGCTGTAACCACTATAGTCACAGTCCAGCCCTGTGTTGTTCTATGCTATTCTGTGTTATTCTATGTATTTAGCTGTAACTGCTATTCACAGTCCAGCCCTGTGCTTTTCTATGATTCTATGTTATTCTATGTTATTCTATGTGTTTAGCTGGTTGTGAAGCTGTAACCGCTATTCACAGTCCAGCTCCGTGTTATTCTATGATTCATTCTATTTTTTTTTCCAGCGTTTTCTTTTGCTTGGAGCTAGTAATTAACCGGAAGGACCAGCAACCCAAGAGAGACGTGGCCAGAGACTATGAACAGTTCACAGAAAGGAAATGCAAATGGCTTTTAAATTTTTAAAAAGATGCTCAGCCCCACCCAGAGGACAAGTGAGAATTAAAACTGCATTGAGACAGCATTTCTCATTTAGCAGCTTGGCGAAAACCCAAGAGTTTACAACACGGTCTGTTGATGTGGCTTTGGGGAGCAGGCATTTTCCTGCATTGCCAGTGGGGAAACTCAGCAGTCAGACTCACAGGAAGAGAGACTGGGAGACAGAAAGCACAGCTAGCAAGGCGGCTGCCTGCAGCCCAGCACTCCCGCCTGGAGAGGCTGCCCCTCACATGTGCTCGCACACAGGAACGCACATGAGTGTGTCCTTATTCACTGCGACACTCACTCACTAGGAGAGTGTCCTTCTCTGGAGGGCTGCTTAAATCACTGTGTGTCTGCACAGCAGAAGTTCTCCACAGAAGGACCTCGAGGGGAGACTTTGAAAACAGTACACGGGAGAATAACATACGGAAATACGTAAGAAAAACAAGGTGGCTTGTCCCTCAGGGTCAACTGTGTGGGCACAATCAACTCTGCTAAGCTTCATGCTTTAGTTCAAGGAGAAAATGGTGAAGACGATAAATTTGGTTATAATTTCTTTTAGTCTCTCTCTCTCTCTCTCACACACACACACACACACACTCACACACACACACAACTGTCTGGAGGAGGTGACGTATGCCCAGCTACTTTACTTTTTAAAATAGTTTGAGTCTTTTGTTCTGTTTTGTTTGTTTGGGATTTATTTTTTTAATTTGGTTTTATTTCTGTGTATGGGTTTTATGCCTACATATATGTCAGCGAATCACATGCATGCCTAAAGCCTGGGAAGGCCAGAAGAGGGCACTGGATCCCAAAGAACTGGAGTTACTGATAATTGTGAGCCACCTATGGGTGCTGACCCATGTCTCCACCACCACCATCCCTTTTTTATTGAGACATGTGCCACTGTGTAGCACTGGCTGGCCTAGAACTCACTCTGTAGACCAGGCTGGCCTCAAACTCACAGAGATCTGCCTGCGTCTGCCTCCTGAGTGCTGGGATTAAAGGCCGGTGCCACACAGAGCCTGATATTGGTCTTTGAACCATGTGAATATATTCCCTGTTTAGAAGCCAAACCTCGTGGCTCAAGACAGTTGTCCCAATTATTCCAGAAGTGGAGGCCAGAGACTATCTGCTTGCTGGGGTAGAATGAGTTCAGGGAGGGCTGGAGAGACGGCTCAGTGGTTAAGAGCTCTGACTGCTCATCCAGAGGACCTGGGTTCGGTTCCCAGCACCCACATGGCAGTTCACAGCTGCCTGTAGCTCTATCTCCAGGGGATATGACAATCTCACACAGACATGAATGCAGGCAAAATAGCAATGCACATAAAATAAAAATAAATAAATCATTGTTTTTTAAAAAAGAATGAGTTCAAGGACAGTCTGGGCAATTTGCTGGGACCCTGTTGCAACATAAAAGAGAAAAAAAAAAACCCGCAAAAAGCAAGTTGAAGTTGTACTGTACTAGTAGAGCGCTTACCTGTCACGCAGGGTCCCTAGGTTCGATTCCCCAGTCTCCGGTCCCACGCTGAGGGCGTGGCTGAGTGGAAGAACATTTGCCCAGCATGTAGAGTACTTGGTCCAGTCCCCAGCCCCAGCGGTTAAAAAACAAAGAATTTAAGTTTGTAATTTGCCTGGATTATTTATTTTATGTGTTTAAAATTTACTATTAGGCTGGTGGGGTGGCTCAGCGGATGGAGGTGCTTGCTGCTGAAGTTTGGCGACCTGAGGTCAATCTTCGTGACAAGTCGTCCTCTGACCTCCACGCTCTTCCTGTAGATCATGTGCCACCCTCAAATAAACTGCAACAAAAAATTAATAAGCAAATAGTAAAAATCCTGTTAGTTCCTACATTCTGCTGTATGGTCAAGTTCCTCGACCAGTCTGGCAATGCCATTTGCTCCAGAGTCTTTTCTAGAACCACGCGTATCCTTGCTTAGATTTGGACTGTTTGTTCCTGTTCTACCACAGGGGCATGGCCTGGAGCGTCCCTTCACCAGTGTTCTAGGAAATCTGTCACCCTTCCCGTGTCTCCGGCTTTTCATGTTTACCATCTTGCAGGGCACACATGAAAGGACAGCTTCCAACCGCACAGAGGTGCACAGCACTGACCCTCCACACAATGCCTCTCATTCTAATTATTTTTCTTTTCTGTTTAATGTGCATGTGTGTAGCATGTATACATGTAAGTATGCATGTTCACACATGTGTGTTTGTGCGTGTATGCATGTGAGTGTAGAGACCCAAGGCTGATGTCATGATCAGAGCTTATCAATATGGTTAGCTTTGCCAGTCAGCTCACTGCAGGGATCCTTGCCTCTGCTTCCTGAGAACATGGAGCTACAGGTGGCTGCCAGGCCTATCTATTATTTAAGCAGGTTCTAGGGATCTGAACTTGGGTCTCATGCTTCATCCACCGAGCAATCTCCCAGGCCTGTTTTTATGTTTATGTGTCTGTGAGTATGTGATACATGTATGTATTCATATGTATATGTATATATATACAGAGACCACATAGGTATATGTGCTCACAGAGACCACAGGTCAACATCACATGCCTGCTGTGTCCAGGATGACTTGGCTCCTGAGACTGACAGGGGACTAGGGGATGAAGAAAGACACACAGACACATGTTAGGTAAGGCTGACTGGCTAATGAAGTCCAGGTATCCTCTTATTTCTGCTTCCTTGGTGCTGGGATTGTATGTCCGCTCCACAGTGCCTGGATCCAAACTCTGGTCTCCATGCTTTCACTGTAAGCACTTGGCTGACTATCTCCCTGCCTCTGCTCTTTGTGTTCTGTTTGGTTTGGTTTGAGATGGGGTCTTATGTCGAAAGAGGCTTTCTGTCCCACCCAGTCCCACAGCTGTTCGGTCCCAAAGAAACACACAGAGGTCTACATTAATTGTAAACTGGTTGGTCTATTAGTTTCTTATTAACTAACTCTTACATTGTACATTAACCCATAATTCTAGTCTGTGTTAGGCATGTGACCTGGTACCTTTTATCAGTGAGGCAGTTAGATCTTGCTTCCTCTGTGTCTGCAGACTGAGTCTTTCTTCTTCCTAGAATTCTCCTGTTCTGGTTGCCCCACCTATACTTCCTGCCTGGTTACTGGCCAATCAGCATTTTATTAAACTAATACAGTGACAAATCTTTACAGGGCACAAGACCATTGTCCCACACCACTTCCCTACCCCCCCCCACACACACTTTTTTTTTTCAAAACAAGAACTCTGAATCTAATCTCCTTTGTTTAGCTATTTTATTAACCATTATTCATAGCAACTTGTAACCAACACTCTAAACAAAGATAAACATCCACAATCCATTTTTTGGGAGTGTTAGGCGTAGTTTTCTAGGCTATTTCCTACTGATTGGGGGCACTGATATTCTTATGGGGACCTAAAGAAAATTTAGAATTATGGTCAAGTCCTAACTGGAATATTCTGTGAGGCGTGATCATCTCAGCCAGTAGTCTTAAGGCCATTCTGGATGTAGGACTCAGAGGAAACTCCAACAGAGGCCCTCTGAAACACTGCATCATCTGGGCCATCCATTCCTATCGGAGATTTCTCTGGGGGTCTTCCTTGATCAAACCTGATTTTTCTTAACCCAGAATGAATCCACAGCCTCTCGTTTCCTGTAGAAACAAAAGCAAAACCTCTTCTCCAAAGTAACATATCTTTTGACTTAAATTTTGAAGTCAAGGCATTTTTGAAATATATATGTTGGATTAATCCAGCAGCATTTATAATCAAATGTCTTTTAGCAGCTGTTGCTCCTTCCTCAGCCATCAAACAATTCAAAAACAGCACAGTAACATACAGTGTCCAGATTCTCTGTGTATTTTCCATCTTTATGTGGCTTTATTTGAAGTTCTCTTTCTTTTATTTTTATTTTTGTTTTTTAGACAGGGTTTCTCTGTGTATCTTTGACTGTCCTAGAACTCTGTAGACCAGGCTGTCCTTGAATTTACAGCGATCCACCTGCCTCTGCCTCCCAAGTGTGGGGATTAAAGGTGTGTGTCACCACACCCAGCTACTCTCTTTCTTTCTTTTTTAAATTTATTTATTATATATGCAGTCTTCTGTCTGCATGTACACATGCACACCAGAAGAGGGCACCAGATCTCATTACAGATGATTGTGATCCACCATGTGGTTGCTGGGAATTGAACACAGGTCCTCTGGAAGAGCAGACAGTGCTCTTAACCTCTGAGCCATCTCTCCAGCCCCTTTCTTTCTTTTTTTAAGGACTTTATCCTTTTTCTTTTCTCTCCCAAGCCTACATATATTTTAAATACACTGTAAATTGCTTAGAGGATTTTTTTTTGTCTGAATCTATCTTTATTGTATATCTCTCTTTTTCTGATCACACAAGTCTTTAATTTGCTAAGCAATATGGCTAGGATTAAAACAGTGGCTTTGATGGCTGGATCCACCCCATTCCTTAATTTTCTGAGAGTCTAGCCTCATAGTGGAGGTACTGGCTGGAGCCATGTTGGGCTGGTATCTTAAAGGCTATTGGCTGAAGGAGCTCCCACAGCAGCCTTACTATGTATGTGGTCCTGGCTGGTCTGGAACTTCTGATCCTCTGTCTCTGCCACTCAGGGGCAGGTACAGGAAAGCATCACTATACCTGGCTTCTCTTTCTTTCTTTCTTTCTTCCTTTCTTTCAAGATTTTATTGACATTTTTAGTGTGTGCTTGTGGGTAGGGTTGGGGAGGCAGGGTGCACATGTGACTGCAGTGACCTCAGAGGCCAGAAGAGGGAGGTGGGTCACTCATATGTGTTATGGGCATTGGTGAACTTCCCCTCTTTGAAGCTAGGATCCAAACTCCAGTCTTTTAACTCCTCTGGCAACTTTCCAGCCCCACTTCTCCTTCTTTTTGGCTCCTGTGTGTGAGTGCATGTGTGTTATTGTATGTGAGTGTATGTGTGTTACATGGGTAGAACCGTGTGAACAGCACAGGTCAGAGCACAGGTTGTGGAAATTGGTTCTCTCCTTCCACCAAGTACATCCTGGAGATCAAGCTCAGATATTGGGGTCCTCTTTACCCATTGAGCTCTCACACTAGCCCCTCTGTGTTTTGAATATTTTTCCCATTAGGGGCTGGGGACTTCAAATGTTTGCCCGTCCCCTACTGTCGATCCACAAGTAAACACGAGGCACAGAACTGATGAGGGATGGTGCACACAAGACAGCTTTGTGCCTGCACCCTCCCCAGAATGCAAGCTTCTTGCCTGGTATACAGTAGGCGCTAAGTTTTTTTTTTAATATTTATTTATTCATTTGTTCGTTTATTTATTTATTTTGTATACAGGGTTCTGCCTGCATGACAGAAGAGGGCACCAGATCTTATTATAGGTGGTGTGAGCCACCCTGTGGTTGCTGGGAATTGAACTCAGGACCTCTGGAAGAGCAGCCAGTGTTCTTAACCTCTGAGCCATCTCTCCAGCCCGGCACTAAGTTTTTTTTTTAATCAATTTATTTATTTATTAAAAATTTCCACCTCTTCCCTGCCTCCCTTTTCCCTCCCCCGCCCCATCTCCCCCTCCCCACCTACCCCTCTCTCTCTAGTCTTAAGAGCATTCAGGGTTCCCTGCCCCGTGGGAAGTCCAAGGTCCTCCTCCCTCCATACAGGTCTATAAAGGTAAGCATCTAAACAAACCAGGCTCCCACAAAGTCAGTCCATGCAGTAGAATAAAAACCCACAGAGCTAAGTTTTTGCAGAAAGGGAAAACAAGAAGGATAGAAACAAAGAATAAAAAGATGTAGCTGGCGTGGTGGTGCACACATTTAATTCCAGCACTTGGGAAGCAGAGGCAAGTGGATCTCTGAGTTCAAGGTCAGCCTGGTCTACAGAGTAAGTTCCAAGACAGCCAGAACTGTGACACAGAGAAACCCTGTCTCAAAGAGAAAAAAAAAGGAAAGAGGAAGGAAGGAAGGAAGGAAGGAAGGAAGGAAGGAAAAAAGTGAAAAATCAGATGTCTGTAGCTTTGTGCACCGGCTGCTGTGAGCCTTCCCAAGCCTTCAGAAAGGAAATCTCGAACCAGAGGTTATCCATCCATGCAAAGGAGCCACATGTTGTAACCTAGGGAGAACTTGCTTGGAGAGGAAATCTGCTGAGGCTGGCACGTGACCAGTCAGTAGAGATCTAGAAAGCCGGTGTGGGATGTAACTGCTTAGCTTCTGGAGGGTCAGGAAAGACTGAGAGCCTGGCTGCCCTCCCACCTCCTCCCAGACCCTTAGCCCCACGCCTCTGAAACCCTCAGCCTTCCCTGGCATCAGAGGAGCCAGCATACTCGCTGTTGGCTGAACTTTTCAGCTTTCAGCTACTTCCTCTCTCCAGCAATGTCTCCACCCGCATCTGCTGCCCCTCTCCCAGGACTCAGGAACGCTGAGTGTGCTGTGCTCTCTTCTCTCCTCTTTCAGTGAGTGGCGCTGCTGTCTGCAGGGGAGTTTCAGTCACCTTCAGGTGGTTAACCCCATCCTAGTCCCCCAGGCTTTGGAGACTGATATCTGAGCGTCACCACAAACAGACGAGGAGCCGAAGTCCACACACAGACCCACACTCAGATCAGACCAGAGCCCCATGTACAAGGAAGGCCTGTATAGGTTTTTAGGCCAGCTGACCCCCCCTCTGGGATGGGGTATAATAAGGTACAGTAAGGACAGGCTGGTCCTCCTTAGTCTCTCCAAACCTTGCAGACCAGCTCCTCAGAAACAGAGGTGGCGACCCACAGAAAGAGGGAGGGCGAGAACTGACTCCACAACTTGTCCTCTGACTTCCCCGTGTG